CCAATTATTCTCTTTTTGTACTACAATGCATGATGACCCGGTTTACCACAAACGAAGCAAGAGCCTTTTTTTTTTTAAGGCAGGGTGATCAACTTTGGATTTGTAATCAAGTTTTTTTGTTATTATACTCGTTTTGGCGATATTGAGGTTTGCCTTGTACCAAGTTTGCCATAGTAGCAGTCTCCTTAGCTCTGGCAACCTTGATCTCCTTGCGGGTTGTATTCTCAATGATGATATGCATGACGAGATCGGCTAGTGACACTTGCTAGGAAAATACCACCACAAGTACCATAACTTTTGTACGACGCTCACTTGAGTGTCATAACTTTTTTTTCGGCAAAAGGACACTATAAGTGCCATAAGTTGTGTACGGAGATCACTTTGGTGCCATAACTGTTTTTCGGATCACTTTGATGACAAGTTGGAGGAAAAGATATCACTTTAGTGACTCCGGCCAAAAAAAGAGCCACGTTGGATTTCCGACAGGCCATGTCAGCATTTGAAATTAATAAAAAAAGAGCCACGTCAGATTTCCGGCGGCCATATCAGCATTGACACTAAAGTGATCGTTTTTCAAAAAAGTTAGCACCAAAGTGATCCGAAAAAAAGTTATGGCACCAAAGTGATCTCCGTACACAATTTATGGCACTTATAGTATCCTTTTGCCCTTTTTTCGATTACTTGAATGTCATAACTTATGTACGGTGCTACTTGAGTGCAATAACTTTTTTTTCCAGTCATTTGAGTGCCATATAACTTTTCAATTCATCACTTGAGTGCCACAACTTATTGAAAACATTCATCACAAGTGTCATACCACATCAGATTTCCGACTCGGATGAACTTTCTTGACAAGTCATTACTCTTAAGTGATCAATTTAAAGTTATTGCACTCAAATAAACGATTTTTTTTAATAAGTTTTGGCACTCAAGTGATCGAAAAAAAAGTTATGGCACTCAAGTGAGCACTGCACGAAAATTATGGCACCTGTGGTGTTCGTACCCCGATAATCGCTTGTCTTTGTGCTTGAGTTGTTGCTTATAGTCATTCTAAGATTCTAGCAGCTTTTCAATCAATAACCCCGCAATAAATTCTTCTTGTAAATTGATGTGTTCTGCCGTCAAGTCCTCCACCAGCTTGTGATATTCATTAATCCGTGTCTTGATCTCCTTATCATCAGACATTCCCCATCGATAATGATTTCCGATCACGAATTTCTGTCTGCCCACATATTCGAAAGCGAACTTTACAATCATGGTGTCCCATATTTGTTTCACTTCTTTGCATGTATAGTAGACATCAAACAATTCATTAGAAATCATACTGATAATCCTGTGCCTATGCACCTTGTTAGCATGTATCCATTGTTCTCGCAGCTTATTGTCGGTTGATTCGAGCTCTGTAAGTGCAAAAGTGATTCCATGGACATCTAGGATAGAAAAAACTCTTTCCTCCATTGTTAAAGTTGTTGCTATTAAAAAGGGATAATGACATAAATAGTCCCTGAACTTGACCGAATGTGCAATTTGGTCCCTGAACTTTTAATTTGTTCAATGTGGTCCCTAAACTTTAGGCTAATGTTCAATATGGTCCCTGAACTTTTAATTTGTTCAATGTCATCCCTGAACTTTTGGTACATGTTCAATTCAGTCCCTGAACTATATGAAAATGTTCAATGTAGTTCCTGAACTTGAATTAATGGAAAGGACAACATTTACAATTTTCATATAGTTCAGGGACTAAATTAAACATGTACCAAAAGTTCAGGATGACATTGAACAAATTAAAAGTTCAGGGACCACATTATATATTAGGTTAAAGTTCAAGGACTACATTGAACAAATTAAAAGTTCATAGACCAAATTGCACATTGGGCAAAAGTTCAAGGACTATTTGTGTCATTTTCCCTATTAAAAACTTCAATCTTTGATATGTTCGAAAATGATTTAGCATTGGACATATGTGGCAGTGATGGCAACGCAACTAGATTAGCAGAGAAAGAGGCATCAGCTGTGGCAATGGTAGCAACAGCGGTGGTAACGACGATAGGTAAAGTTTGGGAACCATAGGAATTATCCTTAAGATTGTTGTATAAAAGAGTGTGTTGGAGGAGATGAAAAAATAAGAACAAAAATATTTAAGACGTGCAAGTATTGTCCTTAAGGATCGAAGTATAAAACTCGATGCATAAGGCTTTAGCGACTATCCTCCCAAAATGCAATAGAATTTCCTCTATATTCCGCACATAATAAATAAAGGGAAAGGGAACAACAACATTATATGTAAAACCCAACTAACAAATGGAAAGAAATGAGAGAATTTCTTATTTTTTGTATGTTTTTATTGTGATTTGGAGATTCTCTTTATAGGCAAATAAAGCAGAGAATTAATAAAGAAATAAATCAAATCAATTTATGGAGACATTACAAATTGATTGTTATCATAATTTCCATTAAAGCCGTTACAAAACAATTGCTTTGAATAATTCAAAACTGTTGAAATATCTAACAATCCCCCACGTATTTCAAAAAGTTTTGAAAAAAAATAGATAAATAAATGATGGGTTAAATGCATCGCAACTAATGCTTCTTAGACTATGACCCGGACCTAGAAAGAATGAAATATAATTCACAAAATCGTTGGTGAAGTTTGCAACTTTTATAAACCAAGAATTTCTTGTGTAAATTATAATTTTCACCAATCATATTACACCCCCCACAAACTGCGGTTTTGCGCTAATAGGCCATGTGCGTGTCTAGTTGATTTCTAAGTAGTCTAGAGATTTTGCCAAAATTCTCATAGGAGCAACCCTACTCCACACTTGCATAATATTGTCCTATATTTATCATAGGGATACAATGATGCTAACAAGAAGCAACCGGTATCCATTTCAACCCAATCTTTCAAACATATAATCTTGTCTAATATTTATCATATGAATTGAGCAATCTGACACATTTGCAACCCAATCTTTCTTTATGAGAAAGTGTCTCTCCACGACGAAACAGTGTGAGAAGTTTCTGACTGGGTGGTCAATTGTTTTTGTCACGTTTTTTAAGAATTTAATAGACAGATAAGGAAATGCTACTTTATATTACAAACTTGCCCACAAAACTCAAATCTTATTCTTCTTATATATTAATTTAAAAAAAATTTAATTACCTGGTTAAGGATAAGAATAGTGTCCCTTAACATTAATTTGTGTATCCGACAAAATGAAAATTAATTTGTGTAGCTTATTTAATTATTTGTGCTTTGATATATATGCCATTCACTAAAACTAAACCGGTCACATAAAAGTTTTATCTCTACTTAATTATTCAAATCATAGTTTAATAGAACACTATAATATTCATCTTATTGAACATCATACAAATGTAGTATATATTTATTTCTATCGATCCGACGACACGTATAAACCAAAATTTCAAATAAAAAACATACTTAAAACCGTAAGAATCAACGCGGGCCTTTTTTATACTTATCAAATAAAAATTTGGGCCCTATTGTTGATGTTTAACGACCAGATCTCAATTCATGGGTCATTGCGAAAGAAAAGGTGCCAAGAAATAGGGGGCCACCCAATTTTATATATAGATGCCCAATAATTTATATAAAATAAATCAAGCCCTCAAAAGTTTTTCTACTAAAATAAAGATAATTCATGTCAAATAACAGGAGGTAAATTCCAGATTCTCTGAAATAAAACGCGATCCAAAACCCAAAAGTCAACTAAACACGAGACTGTTTTTACTTAGTGACGGTGGCGTGTCAAAACCATACCGACAAAACTCGTTTCAACCCAAATGTCCTCGCGGCACGTACAAGAAAATAAACATAAGATTAAAAGCAGTACATATAAACGTTTGTGCAGTTGTAAAAGAACAAACCGTGTGTATAATTTTGACGTACAATACCGGTTCGATATTTCAGGCTATCAATTTGCAAATGATTTATTCGCGCCTTATTTGACCTACAATACTATCGTAGGACTTTATTAGGGAAAATGATACAAATAGTCTTAAACTTGGAATCAATATGCAATACGATTTCTGAATTTTTTATTTATGTAATATAATATTTGAACTTTAGTCAAATGTGCAATGTTGTCCCTGAACTTTCAATTTTTCCAATTGATACATGCTCAATCTAGCCCATGGACCTTGTAAAAATATTCAATGCTGTCCCTGAACTTGAATCAATTGAATTAATAATATTGAATTTTTTTATATAATTCAGGGATTGACTCGAACATGTATTGAAAAGTTTAGGAATCACATCAAAGAAATTGAAAGTTAGGGGATGACATTGTGTATCAGGTCAAAATTTAAGGACTATTTGTATTGTTATCCCCGCTTTATCAATCCCAAATTTATCTATTAAAGAAATTCTTTTTTTTTCATAAACAAATGATGTCACGCGGCGAAAATCGGAAAACAAAAACCGATGGAACAGAGCCGCCGCCGCCACGTTCACCCTCTCCCACCCATTCCCCAACCGGTCAACGCTCCCCTCGGAATCCCATCTTCGATTCGGACAACAACGCCATACGAATGTTCTCCCTACCGCTCACCGGAATTACCGGTCACCTTCCCGCCTAACCCTCCAAGGAAACGAAAAAAAATAAAAACAAAATAAAAACCTCCACCTCCGTCTTCGCCTCCCTGTCGTAGCAATTCGGCCTTCAGCAGTCATTTTCTCTCCAGGATTTCCTTCTTAGAGTCAAAGATCACGAGAATTTTCCGTGCCCGGAAAACATTTTCCGGGAAAAAAACAGACGAATCAAGAAATCCCAAGAAGTCAAGCCAGGTGGTGCCCCCACCAAGGTGGCTCCTTTTGGCCGATTTGATCGAATTAAATGTGATATAACGTTGCGACAATCGCACGGCGTTGTCGTGTTTCTGACTTTTCTTTTCGTCTTGAATTTAATTTTTTTTTCTTTCTTGGAGATATTGATGACGTCGCATTGCAGGAGAGAGTGACTGCACGGGTCCACCGTATAGATAGGGAGAGGCAGGGGAGAGGCAGAGAGATGTCGTCGCCGAGAACGCCACCGTCGCGAGGGGGCCGATCTGCGATGTCGATGATGGAGAGCTTGCTGGGCCTTCTCAGGATCCGGGTCAAGCGCGGCGTCAACCTCGCCGTCCGCGACGTCCGATCCAGCGATCCGTACGTGGTTGTCAAGATGGCGAAGCAGGTCCTCCTCCTTTCAGCGGCCCTCTCTGTTTTTTCTTTTTTTTTCGCCTTTTCTTGCATGCAGCGCTTGAGATGCGATGATTTGAGCCTTGTTTTCGCCCGCGTATCGATTTAGGGAGGAAATGAAAATGTGAGTGTGCTTCTGGATCATTTTGGTGACTTGGGTCGTTGCCCAAATGATCCGATTGAAGGGAAATGAGCTGATGATGATGTCTCGCTGATTGATTGTTCTTGGTGGATTGTATTTCTTAAAGCTGCTTTGATTCATGATCATGGGGTTAGGCGTTAACCTTCTATTGAAGATCAGTGACTCCTCATTTCCTGCCGGCAACCCTTGAGCTTTCCTCAAGTTGCACGGTGAACTCTGTCCCATCAGATGTCTCGATTGAACGAATGAAGTACTGAACAGAGGGTCTCTCTGTAGAGCTGAGATCTCGATCCAGTTGCCGTATAATTCCCACAATCTTTTAACTGTATTTGATGAGATTATCTAGTCCCTAAATTTCGTTGCCTCTTGAAAATTGCATGATGCTGCCATGAGTTTATCATGCATTGCCCGTGTTGATAAGTTCTGCATCCACTTCTGCTGATGAGTATATTAGTACTTTTTTCATGTTGGCGATATGTTGACAAATTATCTGTACAAGCTTTCACTTGCTAATCATGCTAATAGATTATTTTTCACTAGATCTTGCCTTAGCAGTCTCAAGCGAAGAACTTGATAACCATGCTGACATTATAATGAACTCCGGTAAATCACTGGAGCTGCTTCTTCACTTTTTTGGAACCCAAAAAGCTTTTAGCTCTTTTAGCCTTTCTTCAGTTATTTTAATGCCTTGATGGCATATCATGTTCCTGTCCTGCAGATATTAACCTTCGAATGTCAATCCTACTTTTTTTGTTTTCCCTTTTGCTGTTTAAGACAAGGATCCGATGGATCCACATAGGAATCACTTTTTCCCAAATCAGGTTCAAGCTTTGAAGTCTACCTTTTTGTAAAAAAGGAAGGGTGTAATATATCCGTTGTACTATTTTTCTTTCTGATATAAATGCATCCTGGTCACTGTTAATTCATTTATAAACTTAAGGTCAGAGAACATCAAATACTTCCATGATAGTCCGGGCTTCTTGATGTCACATCATGTTTCACTATTCCTATGTGAGATGGATATGTTTTTACATGGTAGTTTGTTGTCAAATGTTTATCATTTACATTGATCTCTCTTAGAAATCCTTTAGTTAAAGAAGGAATAAATGATGCAGAAATTGAAGACCCGTGTTATAAAGAAGGATGTTAATCCTGAGTGGAATGAAGATCTAACTCTCTCTGTTTCAGATCCTACTATTCCAGTCGAGCTGGTAAGTTCTCTCTCTCTCTCTCTCTCTATAACTTAAGCTGGATAAATATGAATTATTTTTTCAATGCTCTGTCCTCATCGGCCTCTGTGTTTGCCCGTCTCTTCCTCACTATTGTGCTTAAGTTAAGGGCTATCTAAAGAAGTTGTCTAACAGTATCTTTAGATGATGTATCATGTTTTAAGACTAGATTTTATGTAAAGACATCATGATTAAGTTTAGCATACTTGCATGCAATTTTATAGGGTCATTACGAGCCATATTACAAACATATTACATTACAATTTATTTGTTTGTTCTTCAACTTACCTACACAGCTTAGACATGTCAAGTGTTCATACAAAATCCGTGTCGTGCAATACATGGAAGGCTGCAGTCAGAATGCTTCCTAAGTGTTCATACAAAATCCATATCGCATAAATGGCAACACATGGAAGGATGCAGTCAGAATGCTTCCTAAATTTTCTTGCGTTTGTTTGTGGAGTATGAAAAAAATGAAAGAGAGAGTTCACTTTTTATTGTATGTATATTGGCTCTTCCACTATTTGTGTATTTTAGCTGTGGAAAAGACATTAAAGCAAAGAAGAAGCCATGGCTCAGTGATGCTTTTTAGGGTGCAGAGTGCAGATGTAGTTGTCATTTAGCACAATACCAGCAGCTGCTCTCTTTGTTTGCTTTCTCTAAAGAATAGCTACCTTTTTTCCTATTAATAGCATCACATTTTATTGCCGTCTCATATTTATTATGTTCATCCTGCTTATTAATTTTTCAAAGGGTTTAAATGCAAGTTTCGTTCACTACAAATTTCTCGGGTCTCTGCCTCATCAGTATTCTCAAAGTTCAGTCATTACAGATGCTGCAGCTCATTATACAATTAGATTTCCCTCTCATCTAGAATTGGGTTGTTCTCAAACTATTTTGATTGTCCTTAGGATCCACAATGTGATAGGAATAGTATCGGGAAAATGAGATGACCTCATAAAGTAATTGCTGTTTTTACTACTGTTAAGAAGTCAGAGAGTTCCGACATGCCATAGCTTGCGTGTAGGAACCTGTTTCCGCGCTTAGGTTCTTTCATATACTTTCAATTCGTCAATCTGATAGAAATTAAGACAGCATCATTCTGCATCTGGTTATCATTGTAGTCTCAAGTTCAGTTAATGAAGCTTTTCCTGATTAGGAGAAGACAGATATTGATGTTTCCTCGTGGCTTCAATTTTCTGGGCCATATTGTAGTAAATGCGACAAGTACAGCAATTTTAGATCTCTCTCTCTCTCTCTCTCTCTCTCTCTCTCTCTCTCTCTCTCTCTCTCTCATATTTTATTTGGATTCCTGCTTAAGTGCAGACCATTTATGACCACGATACATTCAGCAAGGATGACAAAATGGGAGATGCTGAATTTGACATAAAACCATTCATAGAAGCTCTCAAGATGAACCTGCAAGGCCTTCCCAGTGGCACTGTCATAACAAGGCTGCAACCGAGTAGACAAAACTGCCTCGCCGAAGAAAGCTGCATCATCTGGAGTGAAGGCCGGGTTGTCCAAGACATGTGCCTCAGACTGAGAAATGTCGAGTGCGGAGAAGTGGAGATTCAGCTCCAATGGATCGATCTTCCTGGTTCCAGGGGCTTATAAAGCTGCATGAGGTTGGCCCATGTTCTGTACTTGAACCTCTCGTCCATACCATCCTGCGAAGCGAAGCTGTTGTGTCTGTGTCTTTGCCCACTCATGACTAGTTTGTATGTGCTTAGTGAGGCAGACATGTCCCCAATGCTCTTGTCTCACATGATTTATAGGTCAAGCTATTTGAAACAACATGAACACGGTTGAAAGTGGTGATTGTGTATTTGCAAGCACTTGTGCAGTCTTATCTCTTGCTATTTCTGGCGATCTTTGAACTTTCTTGGGGGATTGTTTACTCATGCTTTCGAAAATTTCTACTAAGATTAAATCATCGGAAGCTTACCTTCGGTTTTTGCATCAGTAGGGCTATCATGGTATCGTGGAGCTTTTTGTTCACAGGTCAAGCGATGCAACGGGAACAGAACTTTTCATGCGCGGATTGATCTTTTCTTCCGAAACTCCGCATGAAATTTCTGTTTTTTCATGGACTAGGTTATTCGAGTTTGAAAACCCTTGCACTCGACAGTGGATCCTAGCAAGTGAGAAATTTGCTGTAGTTATGGTGCGCGAAGTGTTGTATGTGCATCGAGGAACAGAAATCACTGAGGCATGAATGTCCAGATTAATGGCCTATCGCCGCATTTACAAGGGGTACCATCTATTAACTCGTAAGCTTTCCTCATCTTCTCCAGTAGATCCAGCTTAAGAGGGGGATGAAAGGGGAAAGGGTCAAAAAGAAACCCTGAATATTACCGAAACGAAGTTTCTGTTTTCGGTGTTCGGATAGTATTCCGGGACATCTTTCTCGCACTAAACTAATTAGTCAACCCGCCCAATTTGGTTAAAGACTAGCCTTCGACGTCGGGATTACAGATTGCGCCGAGTACGGATCAAATATGAGATTTCATGCTTAACAGGATGATTTGAACTAAGAAATGCCCGCTGCTAATGCTCTTGGAAATTACAGGGTCTCCCCTCTTTGCACCGCGTGAAGTTAAACATGGTGTTTGGGGCATCTTTGGCTTGACTCGACTGACTCCCCACGTCTCTCTTTCTTTTGATGGCTTCCGAAATTCACTTCAAAAGCCACACGCTTCTCTTCTCTTTTTCATGACTCCTAAAAGACCATATGACCTTAACGTTTCATCTGTTCCCCTTTTCTTTGTTGCTTCCATATCTTTTCTCGAGAATTTATTAAGAAAAATATTGTATTCTACCATGACAGAAAAAAAAGTCTTTTTTTGGAGAAAAAAAAAGACTATAAAATCAAATAAAAAAGTCAGTGCTGCCTTGTACCGAGGTGCATCGGCCGCCAGTGAGGGCAAACTTTAGTGCATCCTCCAAATTAAAGAACAAAAGACAAGCGCAAACTGCCATGGCCTCTGTTACGTTGAGCCACCCCTGACCTGACCCCTTCTCAAATTCAATCAGAAATTATTACAAGAAAGCATAAAAAAAAAGGGACAAAATAGGAATTTATCAAGACTGTGACTCTTCGGGATCCCTAGCTAGTGTAACTAGACAGAGATAATTATTCAAAAATTCATAAATTTATTATACGGCGGTTAATTTAGTTCTAAACTTTTCAATTTGGCCAATTAGTCGTAAAATTTTGACAATTTGCCAATGTAGTCATTTCGATCAATTTTGACAGGAAATCACTGACGTGGACATTGACCGTCCTACATCGTGCAGCCAGCACTGACATGGACAATTTTTGCAATTGTTTTTAATTGTTTTTTCTTTTTTTCTTTTATTTCTTTTCCTTTTTTTTCAATTGTCGGGCAACTCGTGAGCAAGGTCCGAGAAGCCCTCATGGCACGGCCGGCATCCACTTCAGCGATTTTCAACCAAAACTAGCCGGAAGGATGGACTACATTAGATATCGTCAAAAGGTTTAGAATTAGATTGATCAAATTAAAAAGTTTAGGACTGAATTGGGCACCATACAAAAGGTCAGGGCCTTTTAGGACAATTTTCTAATGTAAATCCTTTTGTTGTATGGCTATTAGGAATTCACAAATAGGCACACACAAGCTAGTACATTTAGTTAGTCTAATAAATTACGTCAATCCTAAGTCAAGATGCGACCCCATCAACATTGCAGGTTTCCAAACCCCACCATCTTTTTACATTTAAGGTTAATATCACAAAAAACCTCAAACTGATATACCTATAACATATTTACCACAAATTAATTTTTTAACTGCCAAAAATCATAAACCGGTACTTATGTGACAAATTTACTCTCCGTTAGTTTCCGTTAAATTTTATCGTTAAATTGCTGAGTTGGATGACACATGACAGTTAACGGATGTACAAATTTGGTATTTTACCTTTCGTTTATCATAGACATACCGGTTTGTGATTTTTTGTGGTATTAATTCAATATAACAAAAAATAACGGAGAGTAAATTCTTCACAAATGTATCAGTTTGGAGTTTTTGGTGATCTAGTCTGAAGTAAATTTGTCACAGGTGTACCAGTTTAGAGTCTTTCACGATATTAACCCTTATATTTATAATTGGGCATGCAGTGAGTCATTTCATTGATTTCTCATTGTAAAAGGTTAAATTGCAGCCAAGGTAGCAAGTAAGGATAATGTTGCTACTATTAACACTTAATATTGCACATTCAAAGATTTCTTTAATTGCGTATGTGTACGATTAAAATGAGAGAACATTATTTCATGAGGAAGTACTATCCTATCTAGCCCTGATTTGTAGTCTCTAGGCCACCTCTCCCTCCTTTCTCCGTGCCGCTGCCATCCGCACCACCGCCACAGTCTGTGTGTGTGTGTTGGGTTGGGTTGGGCCACCGCGATCGACCTTGAATACGGAGATAGGTGGGGGGCGGTTCGCCTCGAATCTTTGCGAGAGAGAGAGAGAGAGGGAGAGATGATCAAATCGGTGCCGGTGGTCAAGCGAAAACAACAGATGATCAACACTCCAAGTGGTGACCGGTGTGGCGCGCGAGGCGGTCGCCGGTGAAGAGAGGTAGAGAAAGGAAATGGTGATTTGTGTTGGATGAGGGTTTCTTGTTCTTGAGTAAAGTTTTAAAGTTTTCACATGGCAAGTGAACAGAGTGCATCCGCTTTTTGGACATCTTTTTGTTCCCTAAAAAGAAAGAGGGAACAGAAGAAAAGGTCAAGTTAAAGGCAAAGCCAGCTCAAGCAAGCCAAGCGCCATTTGCAAGCTCTCTCGCTCGCAAGAACCTCTGCAACGCATGCTATTTAACCTCCTCCTCAAGTTCACCACCCAAACGCTCCCTTTTCTTGATCAACCCCAAGAGGCACGATGATCACGGGGTCGGACTTCTACCACGTCATGACGGCGATGGTGCCGCTGTACGTGGCGATGATCCTCGCCTACGGCTCCGTCCGGTGGTGGCGCATCTTCACCCCGGACCAGTGCTCCGGCATCAACCGCTTCGTCGCCCTCTTCGCAGTCCCCCTCCTCTCCTTCCACTTCATCTCCTCCAACAACCCTTTTTCCATGAACCTCCGATTCCTCGCCGCAGACTCCCTCCAGAAGCTCCTCATCCTCCTCGCCCTCGCCCTCTGGTCCCACCTCTCCCGCCGTGGCTCCCTCGACTGGTCCATTACCCTCTTCTCCCTGGCCACCCTCCCCAACACCCTCGTCATGGGCATCCCCCTCCTCCGTGGCATGTACGGCCCCTACTCCGGTGACCTCATGGTCCAGATCGTCGTCCTCCAGTGCATCATCTGGTACACTCTGATGCTCTTCCTGTTCGAGTTCCGCGCCGCGCGAACTCTCATCTCCAACCAGTTCCCTGGCGCTGCCGCAGCGTCCATCATCTCCATCCGAGTCGACCCTGATGTCGTCTCCCTCGATGGCTCGCGGCAGCCACTCGAGGCTGAGGCTGAGGTCGGCAGCGACGGCAAGCTCCGTGTCACCGTCCGCCGCTCCAGCGCCTCACGGTCGGACGTCTTCAAGCCCGCGGCATGGCTCTCCCCACGGCCGTCGAACCTGACCAATGCCGAGATCTACTCACTGCAGTCGTCGCGGAACCCGACGCCAAGGGGGTCCAGCTTCAACCATGCCGACCTCCACTCTGTTGCTGCGGGGCTCGGAGGTGGCGCGAGGGGGTCGAACTTCGGGTCCGCCGACATGTACGGCCTATCAACGACATTCGGGCCAACACCGAGGCCGTCAAATTACGAGGAGGATAACAAGCAGCCGAGGTTCCCATACGGCAGCGGAGGCGGCCCGGCCGCTAACTACCCGGCCCCAAATCCGGGGATGTTCTCACCAAAGAGCAGCGGTGGGAGCGGAGGGAAGAGGGCGAATGGGCAAGGAGGGAAGAGAGGGGGTGAAGATGGTGGTGGCGGTCGGAGGGATCTTCACATGTTTGTTTGGAGCTCAAGTGCTTCTCCAGTTTCTGATGTGTTTGGGAATAACCATGACTTGCCCACTGGTGCAACTCATGAAAAGGGTAAAATGTTTCTTCTTTCGTGATTCTTTTTCTTGTGCATTTTGGCTGTGTTCTTTCTTTGGGTAATTTGTGTTGAATCATCAGCAGATCAGAATCATAGTAAAGAAGGTGATCAGCTGGAGAGAGATGAGTTCAGCTTCAGAAACAGAAGGGCAGAGAATGTTGAAGTGGGCGGTGGGGATGCAATGCCACCAACGAGCGTGATGACGAGGCTCATCTTGATCATGGTCTGGAGGAAGCTCATCCGGAACCCTAACACCTACTCCAGCTTGATTGGCATCACTTGGTCCCTCGTCTCATTCAGGTGTATCATCAGTTTCAAAACAATTTGGAATACTTTCATTCGATTTTTCTGGCTTCTGGGTCGGCAAATTTTCATGCTTTGCTCTAATATTTTCTCATTGGTATCGTTTACTTTTCCTTCTTGTTTTGGTTCATCTAGGTGGAACATTGAGATGCCTGCAATCATAGCCAAGTCCATTTCCATACTGTCAGATGCAGGACTTGGCATGGCCATGTTCAGTCTTGGTCAGTCAATATTCTCCCAACTCTCTCTCTCTCTCTCTCTCTCTCTCAGCTTTTCTGTTGATTACACTTTCTTTTTCTGGGTCACGCCCCCCTCCTTCATGATTCATAAAAGAGCGCACGCTTTAGATTTTTTTCCTGCAAGAACAAGCAAAGTGAAGCGTGGGGTGGGGTGGGGTGGGCAGCGAGGAACATTCCCGATGTACCGGGAACGCGTGTACTCAGTATATATCGCAGGCCTTAAATCAAGGGCTGAGTCACATGCAAATAATGATGGGTTAGGGTTTCTTTGTGTTTGCAGGACCGAATATTCACCTTCTATAACGCTTTGCACGTACAGATTTATCGACTTCTTTTCTTGGTTCCGGAAAGATGGGGTGATATAATGAAGGGACTGACTGTGAGTTATGATGAATGAATGACAGGACTGTTCATGGCACTGCAACCCAGGATCATAGCCTGTGGGAACTCCATCGCGGTTTTCGCCATGGCAGTCAGGTTCCTCACCGGTCCGGCCGTCATGGCCGCTGCCTCCCTTGTTATCGGCCTCAGGGGCGACCTCCTCCGTGTCGCCATCGTACAGGTCGGTCCCATACCTCGCAGAAATTATCATGTGAGAATAGTATATGTACTAAATTGAATCTGGATCGTCAAATTTGGTGGGATTCACAAGATTTAAATCTCCATATTCAATTTAATATGTACTCAATTACATTTTCTCACCATTAACATGCGATCGCCTGATGACGTGCATCATCAACATGTAAATCACATGATTTCTTGGTGAGCTATGAACTAGAAGTGCTCACGATGCCCTAAACAAATGTAACAGGCAGCTCTTCCTCAGGGAATTGTCCCCTTCGTCTTCGCCAAAGAATACAGCCTACACCCCGACATTCTTAGCACAGCGTGAGTATTGTATTTGTACTTGTAACTGCCATTCTAGTTTCTCTTTTGCTTAACTTCTAATTTATGCAATTCCTGTTCTAATTGGTCACTGGATTGATTATATGCAGTGTCATATTCGGGATGTTAATCGCCTTGCCGATTACACTCGTCTACTACATTTTGCTGGGCATCTGACGAGCGAAGAAAAACTCTAAAATCTTCAAGAGATGATGAAGAATTAGGCTTCTTAACTCGATTGCCAGTTCGCAGGATCTTGCAGAGAAATGACGGAGAACATATCATAGTTTGGAATAATCTTTCTTCTCCGATGGTATTTCTAGGAAAACTGTAAAATCATGGTTGTAGTGAGTAGAAATTATCTAGCCTTTTTATGGGGGGAGAGGTTACCCCAATCCAAGGTCAGAGCATGCCACAAGCCTACGTTCCGAACTTGCTGATCATCTACCAATAAGTACTGGCAGCGGGAATCGGACCTAGGCATGGTCGATGCAAAGTGCTTGGTCGTTACCAATTGAGCCTCCCACCATTGGCTCCTTTTTTTCTTTATTTTGGATCGATATGAAAAGCTAGGAGACATAAGGGAGGAAAAATAGGAAACGGAGATAGGGAGACAGAGAAAGAGAGTGCTTATTATCATGTGATTATTCCTTCCGGTTTTCTACACGAAAGAATCGGTATGCTAAAATCTCCATAGTTTGTTCTTCTCTCTGTGCTTTATCCAAAATTTCAAACAAAAAAATAGTATGTCTATGTTTGAGACGATACTGAAAATTGGGATTGAAATTTAGGTTTCTTGTTGAATCAGTTAACAAGAGGTGATAATTATTTCGACTTTCAACCATCTCGACTAGCCCATCTCTTTAGGCGATCGTAAGAGCACACTCCTTCACATCGGTCTGTTGCATTCAACATTTCACTCTCAAAATGCTTCTGACAAGACTTGAATGCAAGATCAGAAAGAGACGAGCAAACTCCTCTCCTATCTAAGCCAACACCTTACTGGTACAGTGTGAAAGCAAAGTAACTTTGTGGACGGATAGCCACAACTCCCCTTTAAGCAGTGACCTTAAAGAGAGCTAATCTGGTTTATCTTGTCTCCAACTATACCCAACAGGGTAATCGTTGTATCTCTTTAAGCATTATGCGACACTATGATAAAGCAAAATCGGAGGAGAATCGAACTTTAGATTCATCTATGAATATGGTAAAGTTTGTTGTTTGATCAAACCCTACGATACCAGTTATCGAATTAACATGTTGGTCAATGGCATTGGTCAAGTTCATCCAAAGCTCAAAGGATTACTATTGTACCGCAGTCACGAAACAAAATGCTTTGATTACATTAATGGACTAATGGGTTGTCATTTAAGCAGATTAAAAGGGAAAAAGAGATTGTAATCTTGATAGACACCAGAAGATGGGGCCAGAGAAATTAGGGCAAGGAGTGTCCAAAATGTTGGGAAGATGCTCTCATGGAGACTCTGTGCTTTTAGAAAACGCCTGTAGATAGTGCAGGCGAGGGTCCATTCGTCCATCATCATCTTGCCCTTTGTTCTTGACTCGTTTCCTTTTCACTGTTTTGAGCTGTGGTTAGTGGTCTGGTGTGCTTGATTAGATATGATATGTCTCTTCCACGGGTGAATTTGATGCCAATCTCAAGCTACTTTAGTTAAATAGCCATGAAAATGTCATCCTCTCTATATAAAGTGGGCAACTGAAGTCATGCTAGTTGATAAATGATGTCGATGCTTGTCAATTTTTCGCAGTAATTAAATAAATTGGCAAAAGAACACTATAAGTGCCATAACTTGTGTACGGAGATCACTTTGGTGCCATAACTTTTTTTCGGATTACTTTGGTGCCAAGTCGGAGGAAAAACGATCACTTAAGTGTCATAAGTTTTTTTTGGATCGCTTCAGTGCTAAAATTTTTGAAAAACGATCACTTAAGTGCTAAAAAATTTTAAAAACGATCATTTAAGTGCTAAATTTTTTGAAAAACAATCACTTAAGTGCCAATCTCCGGCGAGCCACGTCAGCTTCAGAAATTAATAAAAAAAATGCCACGTCGGATTTCCGGCGAAAAATTATGTACGGCACCGGAGTTGGCACTTAAGTGATCGTTTTTCATCGGATTTCCGGCGAAAAATTGTGTACGGCACCGGAGTTAGCACTTAAGTGATCGTTTTTCAAAAATTTTAGCACTTAAGTGATCGTTTTTCAAAAATTTTAGCACTAAAGTGATAAAAAAAAAACTTATGGCACCAAAGTGAGCGCCGTATACAAGTTATGGCACTTGTAGTGTTCTTTTGCCTGAATAAATTTGATCTTGTATTGCAACTATGGCTAAATGATGACCAATGGACCATTATCATATTTTTGTGAAAAAAAAATAAGAAGGTTTAGTTGGGTTCGGAATTTTCCTCGCTCAATGCGGGAACGCCGCCAGCTTTCCACTAAGCAGACCTGTCAGCACAGCCGCACTAGGTGCGAGTGGGGGAAGCTCAAAATCGACTTATCATGAAGCCCAGAGTTGTACTTCGCAGACTAACCGAATTTTATGAAAGCGAAAATAGATTGGAGAACAGGACATGTGACCTTCAATTTACAAATTGAGTCTTTTACCACTTGACCAACCACCCAATTGGCGACCAGCATCGTATTGTTATAGGGAATGAATTGGCATATTCAATGTGCCCCTTTGGGAGGCTCATCGCATCTTCTTTTCGGCTTTCAAATTGCTTTACTCGCCCACCCCCACGAGCATAATCATTGCCGTTGCCATCGAATTTAAAGTTTAAATTTAAGTGGAGTTTGCAAATAGAAAAGCAACCAAAAAACAAGAAAAGTTACATGGAGACGGTGCTTGCATGGGGCCTTGACGAGGGCATGGCATCACTAACCAAGATGTCTCCATTCATTGCACAAATTACTGAGTTTTCCTTCCTCGTGATCATCGATGGCGCTCGTGAAGAACACCTCCATATCGTGCTTCTTGCGTCCCTACCATCGCAGTTTCTGGTTCAATGATGTTGTTGTCCATCCAAATTGATTACCAACTGCGAGTATTCGATTATAAGAAATGGTGGAGAAGCACGATCACTGGAACTGCCTTTCTGAGAGTTATAATAAAGAATTGGTACTGACATTCAATATTTCAATCGAATCGAAATTGCTCGATCCACTAAAAACCTGAAGGTTCAAGATTGCAAGAGTGTTTGCGCAGTCCAACTGGCACACTAAAAATTGATAAGTTTTTTCATACGAGGTAGCAAATGCATACACAAGGCACAAGTTGGCTAGAGATTCGCTTGTGACGAGGCTTGAATTTGTGATCTCATGAAAGACAATGCAATCCCTTCACCATTGTACTACCAAGCTCAGTGGTAAGTGCCCAACATTATAATTGGAAGGAAGTAGAGAAGTTTGCAGCACTCGGTTCTAGGTGATTTGTTTAGGTGAACATAATCGGCCATGATGGGATCCTTTGCCTCCATCAGTGCTTCCCTCCGATGTCGCAATCCACCCAAACCCTTCACGTGAAAAGGGGTGTGTAAGACTTGTGACTAATTCGGTATAGTTTGAAGTTTGTTGAAAGGCCCCAAAAGGCAAAAACAAAAGGCCTATTGTCTAATGGAAACATAACGTTTCGAGAGCACAGAAAAATCTCTCTCGTTATACATATTTGCATAATACTTTTCCTTGTGTATTGGGTATTCAATGGATCGAATAAGATTCTACCTACGCATGAAGTACATAAGTACTAAACAGGAGACGCTATGATCCAAACACCGGATTCAAAAGAGAAGAAAACAAAAGGTAAAAGTGAATCACGCAAAACTCCTATCATCTATTGAGATATTATGCACATGAAACAGAGAGAATTAATATGTCCTGAAGCATGCACCCACTTGTATGGAGGATCACATGTGGAAGTACGCACAGACATCGTTCCAGACATCGCACTAACCTTGAACTAAATGTTTGGACTTTGGTTAGTGGTCTGGTGTGCTTGATTAGATATGATATGTCTCTTCCACGGGTGAATTCGATGTCTGTCTCGAGCTACTTTAGTTAAATAGCCATGAAAATGCCATCCTCTCTGCGTAAAGTGGGCAACTGAAGTCATGCTAGTTGATAAATGGTGTCGATGGTAGTCAATTTCTCGCATTAATTATAATAAATCTGATCTTGTATTGCAACTATAGCTAAATGATGACCAATGGACGATTATCATATTTTTGTGCAAAAAAAAATAAGAAGGTTTAGTTGGGTTCGGAATTTACCTCGCTCACTACGGGAACGCCGACAACTTTCCACTAAGCAGACCTGTCACCACAGCCACACTAGGCGCGAGTGGGGAAGCTCAAAATCGACTTATCATGAAGCCCAGATTCGTACTTCGTAGACTAACCGGGTTTTATGAAAGCGAAAATAGATTGGAGAACAGGACATGTGACCTTCAATTTGCAAATCGATTCTTTTACCACTTGACCAATCACCCAATTGGCAACCGGCATCGTATAGTTAAAGGGAATGAATCGGCATATTCAATGTGCCCCTTTGGGAGGCTCATTGCATCTTCTTTTCAGCTTTCAAATTGTGCCCCCACGAGCATAATCATTGCCGTTGCCATCGAATTTAAAGTTTAAATTTAAGTGGAGTTTGCAAATAGTAAAGCAACCAAAAAAAAAAGAAAAGTTACTTAGAGACAGTGCTTGCACGGGGCCTTGACGAGGGCACGGCATCACTAACCAAGATGTCTCCATTCATTGCACAAATTACTGAGTTTTCCTTCCTCGGGATCATCGATGGAGCTCGTGAAGAACACCTGCATATCGTGCTTCTTGCGTCCCTGCCATCGCAGTTTCTGGTTCAATGATGTTGTTGTCTATCCAAATTGATTACCAACTGCGACGTATTCTTTTCTTTTTTTTCTTGATCATAAAAAATGGTGGAGAAGCATGATCACCGGAACTGCCTTTCTGAGAGTTATAATAAAGATTTGGTACTGACATGTAATATTTCAATCGAATCGTAATTGCTCGATCCACTAAGAGCCTGAAGGTTCAAGATTGCAAGAGTGTTTAGTCCAACTGGCACACTAAAAATTGATAAGTTTTTTCGTACAAAGTAGCAAATGCATACCCAAGGCACAAGTTGGCTAGAGATTCGCACGTGATGAGACTTGAATTTGTGATCTCATGAAAGATAATGTGATCCCTTCACCACTGTACTACCAAGCTCAGTGGTAAGTGCCCAACATTATAATTACAAGGAAGTGGAGAAGTTCGCAGCACTCGGTGCTAGGTGATTTGTTTAGGTGAACATAATCGGCCATGATGGGATACTCTGCCTCCATCGGTGTTTCCATCAGACGTCGCAATCCACCCAAACCCTTCACGTGAAAAGGGGTCGTAATTGTAAGATTTTTGACTAATTCGGTATCGGTTGAAATTTGTTGAAAGCCCCCGAACGGCATAAACAAAAGATCTAGTGTCTAATGGAAACATAACGTTTCGAGAGCACACAAAAATCTCTTTGTTATACAGTTTGCAGAATACGTTTCCTTGTGTATTGGGTATTCATGGATTGAATAAGATTCTACCTACGCATGACGTACATAAGAACTAAACAGGAGACGCTATGATCCAAACACTGGATTCGAAAGAGAAAAAAAAAAAAAGGTAAAAGTGAATCACG